TTACAACCAGTGGCAAGTCCCTCAGCCCCCTGGAGTGAAATAGCCATTGATTTTATAGTGGAATTGCCTGAAAGCAATGGGAATACTGTTATCTGGACAGTCACGGACCTATTTTCCAAACAGGTGCACTTTATCCCTTGCCAAAAAATTCCCACTGCAAAGGCCTTAGCAAAACTTTTTATCCAGCACCTTTACAGATTGCACGGGGCACCCCAACGCATCATCTCTGATAGGGGAGTGCAATTTACGTCTACATTTTGGAAGGAATTTTTATCCCTCTTAGGGACCACTCAGGGACTGACATCTAGCCATCACCCTCATACAGATGGACAAGCGGAACGCTGCCAGTCGGTACTTGAGCAATATTTGAGATGTTTTTTAAATTTCCAACAGAGTGATTGGACGGACTTACTTCCTTTTGCAGAAGTTTCCTACAATAATGCAGTCCACTCCAGCACAGGCTACACTCCTTTTCAAATAGCCAACGGCCAAAGTTTCAACCCTATGCCAGAGTTAACCCCACAAGAACCAACGATCCCTTCACTGAAAGAATGGATGGAAAACCTACAAAACACCTGGCCAATAGTCAGAAAATCACTAGATGAAGCTAGGCGGGCATACAAAGCACAAGCCGATAAAAAAAGGGTTGAGCCTACACCATTCATTATAGGAGAAATGGTGTACTTATCTACAAAATACCTAAAGTCCCTACAGCCCTGTAAAAACTTGGACCAAAATATATAGGACCTTTTCCAATTAAAAGAATCATAAATCCAGTAACAGTAGAATTAGAATTACACAAAAATCTCAGGCAAATACACCCAATTTTTCATTGCAGCTTGCTGAAAAGAGAGCATCAGTCACCTCTACGGCCAAAAATCCCCCCCCACCACCTCCACTCATGGTGGAGGGGGAACAACACTTCGAAATAAAAGAGATCCTTGACTCTAGGAGATATCGTGGAACAACTCAGTACCTAGTTGCCTGGAAACACCTCCCTGCCTCACAAAATGAGTGGGTCCATAAACGTCACGTCAGAGCCCCGAAGCTATTGAAGAAGTTTCTCACAGAGTATCCTAACAAGCCTAACTAAATTTTTTACTTGTGTTTTCTTTCAGGTGGATCTCTCTTATTGTTAAGAGGGGCCGGATGTCAGAATCCAATTAGATTTCATCTTTAATTATCAAACATAGAAACTCCCAATTCTGCCTTCTCTGGATTCTGCCATAAGAGGGAGAAAAGGGGGAGAGCAAAGGGGCTTTATGGCTCTCACTTCCTTCAGCACACTTCAAAGGACTGAATGTGTGTTTATTGTGGCCTCTAAGCTTTAACATATCAAAGAAGAGTAATTGCCTTTCATGTAGTTATCTGAAGTCTCCATCCAGACGTAAGAAGAAAGGGGATGGAATTGTGATACTTGAAACTATCACTGGAAGGGGGGTTGATTGGGTGGGACTACTGGGGAACCCCTTAAAACCTTGAATGGGAGAGCTTGAACCCCAAGTCCTGTCTAGCATGCCTGCAACCATTTTCTCTTAATAAAGGATTCCTGTTGGAAGAGCTATTCCAAGAGTTCTGTCTTCTTAAGATGCAAAGTGGGGTGGGTCCTTACAATTAGTATATCTTTTCTAAAGACTTCATGGGCTACTAAAGTCTCTGGTATGGGGAGACTTTTTTTTTTGTAAGAGTTTTTATTGTTTTTTTTCCTCATACATTCAGTAATAATTTTTCAACAAACATGCTGTCTGAGTTTACATTCACTAATACATATTTAATTCCTAATCCTTTATTTTTTCCTCTAGCCATCGGTAAAATAAGTCCCAAGTTTGATAATATTCCGTTTCTTCTTTTTCTTTCAATCTCATAGTCAGTCTATCCATCTCTGCGCATTCTAGTATTTTTTTTAATTATTTTTTCATTCCTTCATTATTGCGCAAATATAATTCTTGCCGCTGTTTGTGACATGCAAAATCAAATATAAGCTTTGTTTGTTAGTCTTTTCTGGCATTATACCTAATAAAAAAAGTTCAGGTTTAAAATCTACATGTTCTCCCAACATCTTTTCTAGCCAGGTATGTTATCTTTTTCCAATAACTCTTTACTTTGTCACATGTCCACCAAACATGGTAATAAGTGCCTGACTTATGTTTACATTTCCAACATCTATCTGACATGTTTTTAAACATTTTTGCTAGTCTTGCTGGTGGCAGGTGCCATCTATAGAACTTTTTATATAAATTTTCTTTGTAAGAAGTTGACATTGTGAATTTGTAATTTCTTTCCCATAGATTTTGCCATTTTTCTAATTCTATATTGGATCCAAAATTTTTCGTCCATCTTATCATTGTTTCTTTAACTTGTTTGCTTTCCATTTGCAAAGTTAATAGAAAAGAAAGACTTCTGTTTAATTACAGAACTGCATGTAGGGCAGAAGTGTGATCATGAAGCAACGTCTTTTTTGGGGTATCCTAACAGCAGGGCTGTTTGATTTAGCTCTAAACGCCAATGTCATCTCCCAAATAATTTAAGGCAGGGTTGTCCAATCTTGGCAGCTTTATGACTTGTGGACTTCAAATCCCGGAATTCCCCATGCAGATTAACAACTAACTTAACAACTGCAGTGATCCACTTAACTGTGGCAAGAAAAGTGGTAAACATGGGGCAAATTTCACTTAACTGTCTTGCTTAGCAACGGAAATTTTGAGCTCCATTGTGGTCATGAATCAAGGATTACCTGTACAAGGAAGATTTGATTCCTTTGGGTTTTTAAAGTTATTCAAAAAGGCGAATTAGTATTTTGAAATGTAAGTCTGTTTTGTTCCTTATTTTCACAAAAGCCCCCGTTGCCAAAGATTGGAGAATTGCCACTGAATTTTCACTGAGAGCTCCAAGGAAGAATGAAAATAGGATCATGGGATGCGCAAACCAAAACACCAACTGTTTTTTTTTTTGCCTAAGTGTGACAGGGAATCCAACTTTTTATAACTTAAGGCAGGAAATGCAAATCAGGGACTTGTGATACTTCAGTTCATCATAGCTAAAAAAAAATGGGTGGCTTAGGGTATTGTATGAATCCACTTCACATGCCCAGGAGTGGATCCTCTCCACTTTGCAGGACTGCTGTGAAGACCTTCATAGGAAGGCAGATTGGCCTAGATCAGACATGTCAAATTTGTGACATCACGTGACGTTGCGCGACGTATCAGAGCTTTTTCCCCATTGCCGGCAATGGGGTGGGCGCGGTTTCCTCGTGACGTGTCTGACCCACAAGCTGGCATTTTGACACCCCTGGCCTAGATCCATAGAGCTTCCAGTCAGCAGTAGTCTATCAGCTGCAGGAGGCCGAAAAAGAAGAGGAAGGGAACTGCCCAGGGCTTCTGTGGCTGACTCAGCCTTGTGGTGCAATCCAAGAGCGATTCTTTCCTTTCTTGTCCCAGACAAGAAACAATGGAAAGGAACTGATCAAGGAAAGATTCAACCTAGAAATAAGGAGAAATTTTCTGACAGTGAAAACAATCAGCAAACAGCACGACTTGCCTTCAGAAGTTGTGGGTGCCCCATCACTGGAGGCTTTCTCAAAGAGACTGGACAATCACTTGTCAGAAATTGTATAGAGTCTCCTGCTTGAGCAGGGGGTCAGACTAGACCTCCTGGAACAACCTTCCTCCAGAAGCGGTGAATGCTCCAACACTGGAAGTCTTTAAGAAGAGACTGGACAGCCATTTGTCTGAAATGGTATAGGGTTTCCTGCCTGAGCAGGGGGTTGGACTAGATGACCTCCAAGGTCCCTTCCAACTTTATTATTATTATTATTATTATTATTATTATTATTGTTAGATGGCTTCCAAGGCTTCTTCCAACTGTTATTCTGTTACAGGTAGGCCTTGACTTACAACTGTTCATTTAGTGACCGTTGGAAGTGACAACTGCGCTGAAAAAAGTGAATTATAACCTGTTTTTCACACTTACAACCGTCGCAGCACCCCACAGTCATGCAATCAAAATCCAGGCCCTCGGCAACTGACTCACATTTATGACGGTTGCCATGTCCCGGGGTCACGTGATCCCCTTTTGCGACCTTCTGACCAGCCAAGTCAATGGGGAAGCTCGATTCACTTAGCCACTGTGTTACTAGCTTAACAATTTCAGCTATTCAGTTGGCAACTACGTCAAGAAAAGCGGTAACCTGGGTCAAAATTCACCGAACCACCGTCTGGCTTAGCAGTACACATTTTGGGTCGTAAATCAAGGACTACCTGTATTCAGGCAAAAAGGAGCAGGGCAGCTTTCTAGCTCCCTTCTGCCTGCTTCAAGTGACGCCCAGCTGGGAGGCGACCTCTGCCAGATGGAGGATCCCCCCCCCGCAAACCCACCCGCCGCCTCCACCGACCCCAAGCGCCTTCCTCTCCTGAATTATGAGAGAAGAGACCCCCCCCAAGCCCCCCACCCCGCCTTTCAGCGGGATCCGGACTCGCGCAAGAAAAGCCCGGCGCGGAGGGGTGCCCGGCGCGCAACAACCCGGGCTGACGAAGCGCTGCTGGACTTCGGGCGCCAGAGCCCCGGGTGGACGCGCCTCCCGGGCAGCCGCCGGCGGGGCTGAGAAAGCAACGGAGGGGAGGCAGGGGAGGGGTGCCTCTCGGCCCAGGGCGACCTCCGCCTCTTCCTCGGTCGCGCCTCCCCCTCCCCTCCCCGGCTCTCCCCCCTTCCCAGGCAGCGAATGGTCGCTTCCAGCCGGGGTGGCCATGTTCCCGCTTATAGTCAGTCGCGAGCGGGCGCAGGCGAAAGCAGACGGGGCGGGGGAGGAGGAAGGGGAGGAGGAGGGGAAGGAGGAGGAGGCGGCGGTCATCCAGAAGGAGTGGCCGCGCCGGGCGGAGGGGAAGGGCGGCGGAAGGCGAGGAGGAGGCAGCGTGAGAGGAGACGCCGGACGGAGCTCTCCTTGCACCCGCAGACCCCAGCGCGAAGCATGGCCGTGGCGGTGGGCAGACCCGCGGTGAGTCCGGGCAAGGGGAAATGCCGCCAGGGGGCCGCGCGGGAGCGGAGCCGGCGGGGCCCTTCGGCCGGGCGGCGGGACGGAACACGTGTCTGCTGTGAGGTCTCTGCGAGGCGGCCGGGCTGCGCTAACGGTGCTGGCGGGAGGGCGCGAAAAACCTTACGAGCCGCGGAGGGGAGGAGGGCTCCGGCGTCTGAAGGGGCTCCCCTCTCCATTCATTGCCCGGGAAGCCGCCGAGGGGAGCGCGGGCATCGGTGGTTGAGCTCTAGGGGCCTCTTCAGACGTTACGGGAACACGTGGGTTGAGCTGCTGGGAGAACTGGACCGTGCTTATTTCATTTCGTTTTGTTTTTTTTAAAATCCTGGTTTAAAATAGCGAGATGCTTTTCTTTTTGAAGGTAGTCCAGGGTTGGCTATTTTGGAAAGGGTGTGTATGTGTGTGTGTGGGGGGGGAATTATGCAGTGAAATATGGCAGGGGGATTAAGATGGGGGGAAAGCAGCACATTTCTCTGGGTTTTAGATACGTGTTTGTGTTGCGGGGGCAATAATGATGTTGGTGATAATGAGAGAATAGGTCTCTTGGGATTTTGCAATGGGTTGAGCATCCTTCTGATCCAATTGGGAGCGGACGGGGCGTCTTGCCGCACGTGTGAATGCATCTTTGCAGCTGCCAACTTGGGCTCTGGTGCTGTTGAACCCAGAAAATTTTCTGCCAAGTACCTTTTCCCCCCAACTTGCTGCCTTAAAGGTCTGTGGAAGGAGAACCTCTCAAAATCCCCAATGCTTTTTCCATCAGCTCTCATCTGCAACCTTTTCCCGCCAACCCCATCCCTATTCCCTTCATTTTCTCACAGCTCTTCTTTTGGGAGGAAAGTAACTAAAAGCACAGTTCTGAATTCCCAAAGATGAACTAAATGAGCTGTCAAGCCAGAAATCCCTAGCCTAATTCCCACCTCCGCTATCCTGCCGGATTTTTTGGCAGTTCAACTCTCTCCCAGCCTTTATGGCTCACATCTGTCCTACGGGAATGCAACAATAGGGATGAAAGTTTTTTGCAAGTTTAAAAATGTGGGCCACTCTGATAAATTCATTAATAATAATTGAACAGGGCAGATAGCTCTCTTTCGTGGATTCTGACCTAGTCGCCCAACTATAGACTTTCTCTCAACCCTACATTACTGAACTGATTTCATCTCCTTGGTATTTATACAAGGAAGTGGAAAACTCCCCGGGGATTCAGCACAGTTGATACTACAAGGGCAAAATCTGGTGCAAGAACAGATGAGAAACAGACGGTCCATCTGTGGTTTTCAAAGCATTACTTTATAGGGAAATTGTAAAACCCGTCTCCCAAATGACTCCAGAAAGTTGTTGGAGAATGTGTACAGAAATGAATATATGGTGATTTGATGGCCTCTTATCCTATTTTGAATAAAGGCAAAATGTAACAATGTAGTGTTGGAGGTCTGCTCCCAAATTTCGTGCAACAGTTAGCCAAAGAGTTCTGGTGTGCTGTGGGACTGGAGACAGACCTGTATTTTGGGGGAAGGGGGGGGGGCTGTAAAGTCAGCCCTAGTAAAACACCCACCCCAGGTTGGGTTTTAGCATTTCAGTTGTGTTTTTCTCTGTGGTGCTCAGAAAAATGAAAGACCAGAAGGTGAAGTTAATGACTCAGTTCATTTAGTTGATTCCTAAATTTTTCAGAACATTTCCTAGATCAGTGGTTCTCAACCTTTCTAATGCCGCGACCCCATAATACAGTTCCCCATGTTGTGGTGACCCCCAACCACTTATACATCACCTGGTGCCAGGGGCGTGGCCAAAGAAAAGGGGAAAAAAATGGTGGACAGCCTTGTCTGGCGACCCCCATGAAATGGTTGTTCGATCCCAAATGGGGTCCCGACCCACAGGTTGAAAACCACTGTCCTAGATGGTGAAAATGTTCATCTGCTGGATTCCACAGTTGGGGTGGATATGCACCCACAACTCCACAAAATCAAAATATATTAAAATATAAAAATATATATCATGTTCTTATTAATTTGTCATAGCAAAACCAAATCTAGTTTCTGTAGTGTGGTGAAAGCTATTGACATGCTAAAGAATAAGGAGGCATTATAGATGATAATTAGTGTTGGTGAAATTGTTAAACAGAGATTAAAAGAGAGCCATTTTGGTCTAGTGGATAAGGTACCAGGCTAGAAAGCGGGAAACTGAGTTCAAGTCCCACCTTAGCTATGAAAGCCAGCTAGGTGATTTTTGGCTAATCACCAGGACACTGAGTTCTAGTCCTGCCTTAGGCATGAAAGCCAGCTGAGTGACTTTGGGCCAATCAACAGGAGTCAGTGAGTTCTAGTCCCGCCTTAGGCATGAAAGCCAGTTGGGTGAATTTGAACCAGTCCCTCTCTCATCCTAACCCACCTCACAGGGTTATTGTTGATGGGAAAATAGGAAGAGGAAAATGTGTTGGATATATTCACCGCTCTGAGTCATTTGTAAAAATAATAAAGGTGGGATACAAATAAATAAAAATTTTAAAAGATTAGTGTGTGTTTGTGCATGTGTGTTTCTAAAGGCAGCTTCACTCCTTTCTCTCTTGCGCTCTCATTTTTTTAAAGCCTTTTGAAATTTACTAAAAATCAGTAATAATTTACTATTAGTAAATTACTAATTATTTAGTATTAATTTAATATTAATGTTTAATATTGATTTAATAATATTAGTTATTGGTATTACTAATAATAAATTAGTAATTTTTTGAGAAAATGTGGGCTTGATCTTGTGAACTGTCAGTGAGTCTAATATGAATACTCTTACTAAAAAGGAGAGAAAAATAAACTTTTTGTTATCTCTGTAATGTATGGAAATGTTGGTGAAAGTAAATTCTAAACATATGAAGGTAATCTTAGTACATCCTTGGGAGGAAGAAGGGGAAAGAAAGATTTGATTGACTTTTCCTGCTTATATTTTTTTTTTTTTAAGTGCATGCCTGTAAAACAGATGTTATACATGAGCAAATGACTTTACTGGGGTTCCTTTCAGATTGTGGAAAAATAGATCTCTGTTCAAGATGAAGTCTGGCCTTATCTGGCTTCTTTGGCCATTTATAATGCTGGGTTTAGCTGTAATGGACTCACCCATGATCTATTGGGCAGTTGCCATTTCCCTCTTAGCAGACATTGTGGATTTGACTGTAGGAAGATGGATTCTTCAGCCTAAATCAATGGCAAACTCCAAAGTTGGTATCATAAAAAGATCTCTGAGTTTTGTCCATCTTTTGCAAAAAAAGAGAGAAGGGTTAAAATACAGGTAGTCCTCAACTTACAACAGTTCATTTAGTGACTGTTTGAAGTTAAAACGGTCCCCCCAAATATGACCATTTTTCACACTTACAACTGTTGCGGCATCCCCAGGGTCACATGATCAACATTCAGACACTTGGCAACTGACTCATATTTATGACGGTTGCAGTGTCCCAGAGTCACGTGATGATCACCATTTCCGAGCTTCTGACAAGCAAAGTCAGTGGGGAAGCCAGATCCACTTAACAACCGTGTTATTGACTTAACAACTGCAGCAATTCATTTAACAACGGTGGCAAGAAAGGTTGTAAAATGGGGCAAAGTTCACTTAACAAATATCTCCCTCAGAAATTTTGGGCTCAGTTGTCGTAAGTCGAGGACTACCTATAGAGCTGTTACACTTAACAAATTCACATCCACCCAACTGTTTGTTTTTTTAAAAAAAACATATTTATTGAAATGAATAACAATACTGTCACTAGAATTTGTATACTGGTGGATATTTATGGCTTGGAATAATCTGCTTTTAAAAATCCCACTGGAAAGGCTACATAAAAAGGAAATTAGACCCCAGTAGGTGGCTGGGAGTTTATAAAGGGCAGAAATATTCTCTAGGTCAGAGTAGGCAATTTTCTGGCAACAGGCAGCCACATTGTTTATATTACATTTTTTGCATAGCTGAGGGTCACAGTGGGCCCTTATGATTTTGTGCGCTGTGAGAAGAAAAATTTAAACCAGATGTGCCTGTGAAAGGTAATCTAAGATGTGTTTGGCTTGGTGTGTTATGTGAATGCAGACCCCATCAGTAAAAGTCACACTGAATCCTTGGCTCTTTTATGACTTGTGGACTTCAACTCCCAGAATTCCTGAACCAGCATGGCTCAGCTTGGAAACTCTCCCTTTCCCCTCAGCATGGCTGGCTCAGGAATTCTGGGAGTTGAAGTCCACGAGTCATAAAAGAGCCAAGGTTGCCTACCTCTGGCCTAGGCCGTTTATGACTCGTGGACTTCAACTCCCAGAATTCCTGAGCCAGCATAGCTCAGCTTGGAAACTCTCCCTTTCCCCTCAGCATGGCTGGCTGAGGAATTCTGGGAGTTGAAGTCCACGAGTCATAAAAGAGCCAAGGTTGCCTACCTCTGGCCTAGGCCGGTTTATGACTCGTGGACTTCAACTCCCAGAATTCCTGAGCCAGCATGGCTCAGCTTGGAAACTCTCCCTTTCCCCTCAGCATGGCTGGCTCAGGAATTCTGGGAGTTGAAGTCCACGAGTCATAAAAGAGCCAAGGTTGCCTATCCCTGAACTAGGAATCCTAGTTAATGGTTTAGCACAGAGGTCTTCAAACTTGGTCCTTTTATGACTTGTGGACTTCAACTCCCAGAATTCCTCAGCCAGCCAGGACTTCTGGGAGTTGAAGTTCACAAGTCTTAAAGTGGCCAAGTTTGAAGACCCTGGTTTAGCATCACATGTAAACTTGCGAACACACAAATTAGAGTAGCAAGTGCAGATAGACCCCCAACTTTCATCAGTTCGTTTAATGAACGTTCAAAGTTAACAGCGGCATTGAAAAAAGGGACATGACTTGTTTTCCCCCCTTACCGCCATTGCAACATCACCATGGTCATGTGACCAAAATCCAGATGCTTGGCAACTGACTGGTATTTATGACAGTTGCAGTGTCCCGAAGTTTTGTGATCATCA